TGTACTGTTCAAGAGGAGTGGATCTGACACAGTGACCTCAGTTCAAATCCCCGGCCTGGTCTGTCTGAGGCACACTAGGTATGCGTGTGAGTGCCCAAGACTTGATGGGCTAGAGGACTGCAGGAAGGGAATCGTGGCGTGGCCAGGCTCGACGGAGGGTGCCGCTCTGCCTCTCTCTCTCACTCTTGCTCACATGTGTGCATGCCTGTCTTCTGTCAGGAATAAAGAAAAAAGTTTTTAAATAAATAAGTTGGCAAGTGTAAGTATTTCTCCACATTCTGTGAGCCATCCTAGCGAATTAGTATACTCTGAGAGGGGGTCATGGGAACCCCATATTTACAGCCCATTGGTCAGAAGCACGGGTCACAAACTGGAATTTGGGATCGGCATCTGAAGTGGTGGACAGTCTTGTGGGACTGAGCCTTTAGTGTGTGGGATCTGAGGCTATCTCCAGAGACACAGTGTCAGAATCTAATGGGATTAGAGGCTACCCAGCTGGAGCATTACTCGGTGTGCGAGAAAAAGGCCCCCCCGTCTGGTGTAGGAACTGCTGTGAGTGAGCTGCGTATGAGAGTAGAAAAACACTTTGTTTTTTATCTCCACCTTTAATACCTATCTAACGTAGTCCTTTTCTATTTATTTCTTTCATAGCAATTTTCATCACCTTTAGTTATCTGGTTGGTTCACCTGTTCACTCCTTTAATGTCTGACTTCCCACTAGACTATAAACTTAATAAAACCAGGAATTGTGAGTTTGCCCCCACCACATATTCAGCCACTGGTACAACAACTAGCATAAAGTAGATGTTCAATAAATATTTATTTAATAAATACATGAATCTTATATTTCTTAGCAAACCAATATCATATGGAAAATTATCTTAAAAATAACTTTTGGGACTCCCTCTGGGGAGTGATGTCTCTATATCTCTCTCTTAGGTGAGCACAAATGTCCAATCGCAAAAATCTCTCTAAAAAAGGTGTAGTTAAATAAATCTCTATATTAATCTACTTCAACTCATAATCATTCCTTGTATATTAGAGTTGAGTATAATATGAAAATGAAAACAAAAAAATTAGCTTTCATTAATCTACAGATGACTCACATTACTGGTTTAATCATTTACTTTGGAGTTTTCATAATTATGTTTTCATGAACTGAAATATATTTATACATAGTATTATTGATACTGAAGGCCAAAAGAACATATAATCATTATTCTAAAAAAGAAACAAATACCAATGATTTATTTTGAATTCTAGACATATTGCCAGTTAAGAATTTTGGGGCTTGGGACCAGCAGATGCCATAATGGTTATGTCACTGGATTCCCATGTAGTTGACTGTGGTTCCAGTCCCAGACCTGGCAGCTTAAAACTCATGCCAGGTGCATGTGCGTGTGTGCCCAAAATCCCAAGAAGAGAATGGAGGAGGGAGTGTGGCATGGCCAATTTTCCCAGGTGGTGATTTATCACTTTCTGTCTCTCTATCTCTGGTGAGAACAAGTGCCCTACAGCAAAAAAAAAAAAAAAAAAAAAAAAAAAAAAAAAAAAACCA